GTAATAGCTGTAATTTTTCCAAAGTTATTTAAAAATAACAATCTTACAGATCTAGAAATATCAGTGAATAGAAGGCAAAATAAATATAATCACAACTAGTCTCATCGAAAAGGAACCAATGACAGAAAGAAAAATCTCAAAATGTATCCAGCGGAAAACATCAGACATAACATAAAGGAGAAAACGAATAAAAATTTCTCACTAATTAACAAGAAAAAATAGAGATGGAAAGATGGTGGAAGAAATAACTAAAGTATTGAAGAAAACAGAGCTGGAGGCTTGGCTCAAGCTGTAGAACACTTGCCTAGAAAGTGTTGAAGCCCTGAGTTCAAACCCCCAGTTCCACCAAAAAAAAAATTAAAGTACTGAAGAAAACAAACATCACAAACAGATTGATAGGAGATAAGGGTATATCTCAGTGGTGCAGTGCTTGTCTTGCATACACAAGGCCTTGGTTTCAATCCCTAGCATCACACACAAAAAATAATTTCCATAGTCAGTAAAAATTTCCTTAAAATGAAAGCAAAATAAAGACCTTTTCAGATAAAGGTGAGAGAATTTGTCACCGGAAAAGTCACTTAATAATAAATGATAGTGGATGTATACCAGGCTTTAGAGAATGATAACAAATGGCAATTTGATGTAAAGGAAGGTAGAACATTGAAAATGGAAAATATGTAGGTAAATGTAAAAATTAGCTTTGTCTGTTTCTAACATGGAATTCTTTAGAAGCCAATGGACAGTTTAAAACAAAGATAAGGCTGGGATGTAGCTCAGTGGTAGTGTGCTTGCCCAGCATGCACAAAGCCCTGGGTTACATCACCAGCACTTCAAAAATCAATCAAACAAACAAAACCCAAAGATAATAGCAATTGTCAGATTTATTATATACATAAAAGAAAAATGTGTGAATACAATCATACAGATCTTTATATAAGAACATAATTATGCTATTTTAAGTATCTTATATGTGAAGGTGTATAATATTAATTTAATGTAGAGTATAATAAATTAAGAGTAGTTAAATATCTAGAACAATCGTTTTAAAATAGTAGGAAAAGGTAGAGGTTAAAATAGAAGAGATAGAACTGAATATCAATGCATTTATCATTAACATAAAAGAGAACAAGCAATGAAAGACAAAAGACAAACAAAAAAACAAACATCAAGATGGTAGACTAGCACTGAAATAGCAATAATTACATTAAATATAAATGTACTAACCACTCAAAATTAATCAGAAAGATTGTTAGAACAGAAAAAAGCAAGATACAAATGTTCACAAATGATGCAATTTTTAAATATGAAGACAGGTAAAAGTAAAAAATATAGGAAAAATATATTATACAAACACTAAAGAATCTGATATATCTATATTGATATCACACAAAGAACAGTCTAAAGGAACAATGTATCATAAAAATAAATAGGGTCTTTATATAAGGATAAAAGAATCAACTCTTCAAGAAGTCCTGTTTCCTGAATATACACCCAATAAGAGATTCAAAATATGTATAGCAAAAAACTGGCAAAAACATAGACACAAAGGAAACTCCACAATCTTATATTGGAAATTTTAATACCTAACTTTCAGTAATTAAAAGAACAATTAAACTGAAAGTTGGTAAAGGTATGTAAAATTTTAATACTAATAACTAACTTGACACAATAGATATTTATAGAACAATACATATAATTACAAAATACACAATGGTTTTATATAAACTATGAAATTTCACCCAAACAGACCATAAAATGAGCCATAATATTTAAGTCATACAAATATGTACTCTGTCCAAAAAGAAATCAGTAACAAAATTGAAAGTATCCAAATATTTATGAATTGAGCAACCCAATTCTGAACATCTTATGGATAACAACAGAAATTAACAAGGAAATTAGAAAAAAATTTTGTAGTGCCAGAGATGGAATTCAGGGCCTTGTGCATGCTATTGGTAAGTGATCTACCACTGAGCTACATCCCCAGCCTAAAAAATATTTTAAATTAAATGATAAAGAAAGCACAAAATAACAAAATTTGTGAGATGTTTCTTAAGTATTCCTTATACAGAAACTACAAGTTTCAAATATACCTGTTGTAAAAGACAAACCTGAAAAAATCTATGATATGAGCTTCCAGTTAACAAAGCTGTAGAAAGTAGAGGTTGTAAATAATAGAGGCATAAGCAGAAACCAGGTAAAATAGAAAGCAAACCCAATGAGGTCCCAGCCAATGTAATTAGGGGAAAAAACATAAAGGTATCAAGAACAAAAAGAGGTAATAATATCTGAAGTAATAAGTTTATTTATGCAAACAAAAAATCTACAAACTCCTAGAATTAATAAGTGAAATCAGTAATTTCTCTACATAAAAGTTCAAATTTCCAAAATCAATTATTTTTATGTACTTTAAACAAATAATTACAAAATGAAGTTGGAAAGGCAGTACTATTTAAAATGTCATCAGATTTCCAAGGACAAACTTTACAAAATATGAGCAAAATTTATAAAATAAAAGGTGCCAACATATTTTTGAATTAAAAAATGTTTAAATAAATGGAGATTACATGTCCACTAAATTGGAAGACTGAACAATGTTAAAATATCGACTATCCTCAAAGTTATCTGGTAAATTACTGCAATCTTAAAGCCACTGCAGTATATTTTCTAATGGAAATTGATGGAGTCCCAAATTCATACAAAAGATCTAGGATAGCCAAGAAGAGTACTTAAAAATTGGAATAAACTTGTAGCATTTGCACTACCATGTTTCAAGGCTTAACACAAATTTACAAACTTCAGACAATGGTTCATTAAAGCATGAGTAGAAAACAAGTCAATGGAACAGAAATACAGAAACAGACCCATATACAGTCATTTGAGGTTTTTGGCAAAGAAATAGCCGTAATTTATTGAGGGAATTAAAGTCCTTTTTTCCTGTGGCTATCAGTGTGGGAAATATTGAACTTTGACTGCTACCATACACTACCAAAATATTTTATTTGAGATCATAAATCTAAATGTGAAAGTTTAAACATTAAAGGTTATAAAAATTAGGAGGCTATTTCCATAGCTTCAAGTAGACAAATATTTATTGAATAGGATAAAAAGGCAATAACCATGAAAGAAAAGATTTATGTACTGGACTTTATTAAAACAACAAACTTTCATTTGTTGCAAGACAGCATTCAGGCAATGAAAGGCAAATCTGAGAAAGGGAGGACAGATTGGCAACATATGTATTTGACAAATGACTCACATCTAAAACATAGAAACTGAAATACTTTGAATCAATTAGAATAAAGGCAAAGAAGAAATGAAATGAACAAAAAGACTTGAGTAGGCACTTCAAAAAGATGTTACCCCAATGGCCAATAAGTGTTATGAAAATGTATTTAATAGTATTTATCATTAGGAAAATGTAAATCAAAACCTTAATAAAATATTTCTACAAGCCCAAGAAAACAGATAACAATGAAAAAGACTAAGAATACCCAGTGATGGTGAGGATATGGGCAATTGTATGAATCACACATTTTTGATGAGACTGTAATTTATAAAAATCACTATGGAAAATGGTCTGGTACCATCTACTAAAGTTAGATGTACACCTATTCTATGATTTTGGCAATTCTACTACTGAGTTTTTATCTAAGAGAAATCGCTACATATATCCACTAAAGACATATATAAAAGAATATTAATAGCATTTTTCATAATAGCTCTAAACTCTAAACATCCAGAAGTCCATCAATAGGAAAATGTATAACTAATTGTAGTACATTTTTAAATACAGTATTTCACAGTAACAACAAAGAACAAAATTAATGAATCTTAGACATAATGATTAGTGAAAAAGTCAAACACAAGGCTACACAGTGTTATGATTCCACTATATGAATTTAGTAACAAAGTCATCGACATGCAGAATTTATAGTAATGGTTAACGTGGGATGGGGTAGGGGAAGGTTCTCTGTGGAGAGGCATAGGTAAACATAAGATGAAAAATTTGTAGTTTTGGTGGTACTGGAGTTTATACTCAGGGCCTCAAGCATGCTAGCACTTGAGCCATGACCCCAGCCTTTTTAGCATCAGCTTACTTTTCAGGGAGGTTCTCATGCTTTTTTCCCAGGGTCAGTTTAGGACCACGATCTTCCTACCTCCACTTTCCATCTAGTTAGGACCATAGCCATGTGCCTCCATGACTTGTTTGTTTGTTGAGATAGGGTCTCAATTATTTTTTTGCTTGAACTGTGATCCTCCTATCTCTGCCTCCCAGAGATTACAGGTGTGCAACCCAATACCCATCACAAAAGATTTATTTTATATTTTGATATGTATGGTGGATTCATGGATATGGAAATAGACAGGAACTCATCTACAGTCTTGTATACTTAAGTGGACTTTGCCATATGTATGTCATATTTCCATAACAAGATTAAGAAAAATATAACCAAAGACCCACTCATCCATGCCACTGTGCAATTCAAAAACCAAACAAAATATTAATCAGATATAATAATCTAGTTTAGCCTATCTACTTGACTGTAGCACTAAGTCCCTTTGCATGAATGACTCAGTCCTTGCCATTTGAATGGACAGTATGATTGTTCCTCCAACAGCCACCAGTTGTGTGCCTGTGTACAATTTTCTAAGAGAATCAGCAGCAAGTTAGGGCCTGGCAGAGTATATTATCACCTACAAAAATAGCAAGGTCTCTTAATTGATGTGTGGCTAGCAGTCAAAGATTGAAAAATGCTCCACCAAACAAGTCTCTCTGCCCACAGGATATTGTCCTGCTGAGTTCACATTACTCATTCTCATTTTATACAGAAAGACATTTGGGCAAAGAAAGGGAAAAGAGCTAGTTTTAGATTATGTTGCTAATCAGTATCTGATTAGGAAATGGAATGAAATTCTGCCAAATAAGAAGTTGCTATGTGGTACTGGTTAGAGCATGTAAGGAAGGAGATGAAGCATTTGAGAAAAGGAGTACTTACCTGGGAATCCAGGGAGGCCTGGCTGTCCTTTTGCTCCAGGGGTCCCTGGTAATCCAGGCAAACCAGTGTTTCCCACAGAACCTTTGATACCTGGGTTCCCTGGGTATCCAGGCAGACCAGGTTCACCCTGAAAAGATGAATAAATAGATAAAACTGAAGTCTTTATATGACTCAGACTGTGTAATAATGTAACATTATTTATAGAGCTTTTACTATATGTCAGACACTCAGCTAAGTGCTTTATATAAATTGCTCCATTTAATCATCACAACAGTCCCATGAGTTAGTCTTTGTCATCTCCATTTATAAATGAGAAAACTGAATCTTAGAGACGTCATGTGCCTAATGTGTATAGTAAGTGGCAGAATTAAGATTTGAAACAAAGTCTATCAGATTCCAGAGCTCATGCTATTTCTGTGCTAGGATATACATCATTCCCATTAATTCATAACAATTCTATTGGAAAGATACTATTATTATCCTCATATTATAGTGATGCAGCTAGTTAAGTGGTGGAATCAGAATTTTGACTTCAGAACCTGCGATCAGCATCTGTAGTATGCTGCATTGTGATTCATTGTTTACAATAAGCAAGTCAATGAACAGCTACAGTAGTTTCAACTGAAAAGAGAAATTTCATCTTAACATGAAGAAATCTATCAATTCTTCACTGGACATCTAAGACCCCATTTCTTCCATGAAACCATTCCGGACAAAAAGAGTTTACTTGAAGAGCTTAGGGTATGTGCTTGTTCTTTCATGATTCTAATAGTTTCACACATGCAAATTTTAACTCTTTAACAAAATTTATGGTATCTTTTTGCTCAGTGAATATTTGTATTATGTGTTCTTCTAATACACCCTTAGAAGAATTCCTACCCACTTTCACTCAGAAAAGCTATGTTAGTGCCCTACTACTGAGCTATGTCCCCAGTCTGAGTCCTCTTGTTATTCATAAATGAATTAAATCGACATAGCAAAATACAGAAATTGAAAAGAAAATTTTAGTATTCTGTTAGTGGCAAACCTGAAAGGCATTCAACAAACTCCTGATTGCTTATGGTAATAAGGTATGTTAAATTCCACAAAGAACCCCAATTTCCAACTTTAGCTAGCACTGTTTCTTAAAACAGTTCCTCTCATCACCCTTATAGCCCTACTCTTTCAAACTAAAAATTTAAAAGAATGTAAATATTTTATTAGGACTTCTGAAAAGGGCTATAATTTACTAACTTAAGCTTTATCTAACCTTTCATTATTCATACACTTACAGGGAAAACAATGAGTTTCAAAAAAGGGTAAAGCAGAAGAGATAAAGAATAGTCAGAAAATCAATAAACTGGCCAGGAATCCTGTAAATCACCCTGAGAAAGGAAAATTCAATTCTATTTGCACTTTTAGCAAAGCTAGAAGTGACTTGAATACACTTAAGCTGCAAATATCTACATTCATTTTAATGTCAAGCTTTGATAAAATTTTTGAAAATGGAATATATCATGCTTAATGGGTCAAATTTACCACTGTGAAACTATCATACAAATACAGTGATACTGGAAGACTAGAATTGTTTTTAACAAGCCTGAAACTGGAACTGCTTTCAAGGTCATTGTGTTGTATCACATGCAGTTTATGTAGAAAAAGGACTGAATTTGATATCTTCTCTGCTGCTAAAATTCAAATTGGTAATCTAAAATTATTTGGATCACAATGTCTACTATGTCTTAATAATAGCATCTTCTTTTCCATTCCATGCTATAAGGTAGGACCCAGACTAAAATTACAGATTTGTACCATTTTATAAAAGACATAAAAGCTGGTGAGAAGTTAATGTTTTATTTCTTGCCTGCCATTGTAAAATTGAAATACTGCTTCTGAGACAAAACCAACACAGTGAATATAAAAATTTGGTTAGAAAAGGTAAAAACTGCATCTTCCTCTACTGCAACAGAAGCCCTATGACAGCAGTCCATCAATTGGAAGTTGTATTCCCCATTTAATTGTTAACTTTTTTATAGCAGTATCTGTATTTGGAGATTAAGGATTCCAGAAACAAAGCCATATGTGGCAAGAACTGACTTATTTATGGTTCTACTTTAGACAGAAAATATTAATAACAAGAGAAAGTAAAATAGAAGTACCATAGAATCCAAAAGTCAGGCATGCTCCTGGTTATATATCAAAAGGAAATCAACACATTGCATTCTTATGCTTATTACAGGACTATTCAAAATAGTCAGGATATGGAACCAACCTAATGTCTATCAACGGATGAATGGACAAAGAGAATATACTTCATATGCACAAGGGAATACTAGTAATCTATAAAAACTATGAAATCATGTCACTTGTGACAACATGGATAGGCCTGGAGAATATTATGGATGTGAACCAAGCCAGGCACATAAGGACTAATAATGTATGAGCTCTCTCATATGTGGGTCTTTAAAAGTTGATCTCATAGAAATTGAGAATAGAATGGTAGATGCCAGAGTCTGGGGAAGAGATAGAGGGAGAGGTTGGTCAACAGGTAGAATGTTATTGCTTGATACGTGGAATAAATTTTGGTGTTCTATGGCACAGCAGGTTGAAAATAACAATAATGTATTATGTATCTCAAAACAGAAGAGAGGGATTTGAAGACATGCATCATAAAGAAATGAGAAAAGTTTAAGGTGACATATACATTAATTACCCTAAGTTGATCACTATTCAATCTATACATGAATCAAAACCTTATAGTGTCCTTTATCAGCATATATAAGTATCATGGCTCAATCAAAAATAAAAGAAACTAAAGGTCAAAAAAGTGGATGTAGCTTTTTACTAAAAGCATTATTGAGGTATAATTTATGCACAAAATTTACACATATATAATGTATAATATTTTTGCAGTACTGAGGTACTCAGGGTTTCATGCTTGCTAGGTAGGTACTCTACAGCTTGAGTCATGCCTCCAGCCCTAATGTATACATTTTGATGAGCTTGGACATAAACAAACTATAATCAAAATTTTCTTTGTGTTCTTTTGTGTCTCTGTGTGTGTTTTATGGAAACACATAAAATTAATCTTCTCACACTCAGGATGGTCTGGGGTCAGAAAAAGCTGCTACGTGGCAATTGTGGCTCTGGCATGATGAGGGACAGAAGTTGTAGAGTACACTTTCCTATGAACACCCTATCCCAAGAACACTGCCCAACTGAGAAGGTACATATTAACACATCTACTCACGAAGGACTTTTTAGCAGAGCAAGCTGATCAAAGGCCCTGAACACTTGGGACCAATCAGGGGTGAGGAAAAGCTGCTAGGCACCTGTGTCTGTGGTGTGGGTGGGAGAGAGGGCAGGGGCGCAATTTCCTGTGACAGTCAGATTCCTAAGAGCACTGCCCAGTTCACTAGGTACAGGTAAACACATCTGCCCAAGGATGACTTTTTGGCAAAGCAAGCTGACCAAACGTGTGTACACCCAGGACTGGACCAGGAGTCAGGAAAACCAACAAGAGAACTGCAGATAGAAAGCTCAGGAACAGAGAGTAGAGAAGAGCATCCGCTACACTGGTAGAGCCAAGCAGACATACACTAGTATTCAACAGGGAAGAAATACCGACTTTTATTATTATCCTTCTTTTTACTTTTTTTTTATACATTTTAATTTTCTTTTCACACTCTTTTCTAGTGATGGTTTATTCTATTTCTTGTCTTTCTTATTCTTAGTTTTTCTATCCCATTGCAATCCTTGACTATACCATCTTTCTCCACAATAATTGAACCATATTCCTGCACACTATTAGCTTGTTTACATCAAGCCCACACACTTTACCTCCTCTCCTTCCCTCATTTTTCCTTCTTCTCTATTTCTTCCCTTACCCCTTTATTCTATTACCTAATTTTAAAGTCCTATGCAATAATCTTTTTTTCCTGTACCTCTCCTGTACCACATGAGTGCTAGTACATTTCATATACGTTATTGGTGGTATAGATGGTGTTGCCAATGGTTTATTACTTCATGTAAATATATGGTTTGTATTCACCTGGTGAATTGGTTATTGCTGAGTTATACCCAAGGCAAGTGGTGAGAAATGGCACATCAACCCTGCCACTATCCATTTCTGCCTAGAATATAATGAAAATGAAACACAACCTACCAGAACCTATGGGATACAGCAAAGGAGTGCTAAGAGGAAAGTTTATAGCTATGATTACTTACATATGAAGAGAGAGAGAGAGAGAAAGAGAGAGAGATCTAAAATGAATAGCTTACTGATGCACTCCAAGATCCTAGAAAAACAAGAACAAGGCAAATCTATAATTAGCAGGTGGAAAGAAAAAATTTGGACAGAAATTAATGAAATAGAGAACAAAATCTACACAAATAATCAACAAAACAAAATGTTTGTACTTTTAAAAGATAAGTAAGATTGATAACCCCTTAGCCAATTTGACTAGAAGGAGGAGGGGAAAAATCCAAATTAATAAAATTAGAGATGAAAAGCAGATATTATAATAAATACCAATGAAATCCAGAGGATCATAAAGGAATGAATACTTTGAAAATTTATGATCAAATAAACTAGAAAATCTAGAAGAAATGGATAAATTTCTAGATGCATTTGACTTACCAAAATTATGCCAAGAGGATGTAAGCCATTTACATAGATCTATAACTGAAGCAGTAATAGTCTCCCAATAAAGAAAAAGCCAGAATCCAATGGATTCACTGCTGTATTCTACCAGACCTTTAAAGAACTAACAGCAATATTCAAAGTTTTCCATGAAATAAAAAGGGAAGAAACAGCACCTAACTCATTCTATGAAGCTAGTATTCCACTCATTCCAAAAACGGACAAGAACACAACAAAGAAACAGAATTATAGGTCAATCTCTTTAATGAGGAGAGAAACAAAAATTCTCAATAAAATACTTGCAAACTGAATTCAACAACACATCAAAAATATCATACATGATCAAGTTGGTTTTATTCCAGGGATTCAAAGATGGTTCAACATACATAAATCAGTAAATATTATACAGCATATGAACAAAATCAAGGACAAAAATCACATAGTCATCTCAATTGATGCAGAAGGAAATCTTTGACAAAATTCAGCTTTCTTTTATGATAAAAGAT